GCTCTGTGATATTCGGAGGGGAAAGCAAGCATCGGCGGAGGCGCGAAAGGGTTGCAGATGCAGCCACCAAGCGATCCCATCCGGCCAAGGCAACAGCGGCGCAGCGGCCATGAGATGCACCGGGTCATGGCCGCCGGCGGCCCCAACTCCCAATAGAACGACGGCGTTGGCCAGACAGGTAGAGTTGAGTTGCGAAGTGAGGTGCAGGGTCGACTACCATCATGTCCTCCGATGGCAGGCCTTGCCGGAGACAATGATGATCCCCTGGCGGAGCCGTACTCTGGCAGCTACGCCCCCTCCGCATCCTTTGAGGACATGGCCAACGACAACACTTTTCTAAATGGTATGAATTTCATAACCTGCAACAGTAATTCGTCAATCAAATTCATGTTTCGTTCTTGGAATTCGTCACTCATAACCTAAGATTCATCATCACTACCACCAGAATGTGATGGTGGTTGAAGGGAATTAGGTGTGTCCAATATTGCTTTCTCTATCTTTCGGTTGGCTTCAATTAGAGCTTTCTGTAGCAGGGCTTTCACGTCCGGCTTTCTGTGATGGTGGAGTCTTGGTTTCTGTAATAATTTGATTTCTGTATAGTGATCTGGTTTCTGTAATTTGGTTTCAACAGAAATGTGTTGTGTATTTGGTTTCTGTAATTTGGTTTCAATTAGAGGACATGGCTTCAACAGTAATTTGGTTTCTGTATAGTGATCTGTAAAAGCAAATCTTTGATAATGTGTTGTTGATCTGTTAAAAATAGAAGTTGTGAATTCTGATCAAGTGTTGTTGATAATGTGCTGCTCTATGATCAAGTGCCATAATTCAATTGGACCTGCTGCTAAATGTTTTCTATAGTTGTATCACTTTAACAATTGATCTGCATCTAGTTTGGAATGGTTGTAACATTATTTTTCCTAATCAAAAAGTAGCTGACAGTGCTTAGGCTTTCACTGAAGACTTATCACTGGTTAAATACTTGCAGGAAATGGATATTTTTCCAACATGTTGGTTGAAACCAATCTAGGGGATTTTGATAATTATAGCAACACGAATGCTGACCCACAAGAAATGCAAGTTAGTCCAGCAGTCCCCTCTGCGAGGCCAAACCATAAGAGATCAAAGAATTTCAGTGACCACGAAGATGAGGTTTTGGTTTCAGCGTGGCTGAATATAAGTTTGGATCCGGTCGTAGGAAAAGATCAAAAAGGTGGCAGGTATTGGTCTCGTATTTGTGACTATTTCCATGAGCACAAGACGTGCCAATCAACGCGTACCATTAATTCTCTAATGCACCGGTGGGAGACCATACAAAAATGTGTGAACAATTTTTGTGGATCTCTAACACGGATTGAGTTAAGGCGTCAAAGTGGTACTACAATGCAAGACAAGGTAATTACTCACTTGTCTAAGATGGATTTGTTTCGACTATTTTTATTATATCTCAAAAATGAATATCCCTTGGATGTTGGTGTGTGCAGGTTGCAGAGGCATGTGCTTTGTACAAGGCCGAAGACCAACATAACAAAGCATTTCAGTTCATGCATTGCTGGGATAAGCTGAGAACACAACCGAAATGGCTTGCTAAACTTGATGAATTGGCTGCTTCTTAAACATCTAACAAGAAGCAGAAGACAAGGCCTACTACCGATCCGAGTGCAACTTTACCGAGTGAAATAGGACAAGATGCAGTTGAAGACTTAGATGCTAATGCATTAACAAGGCCAATTGGTAAGAAGAAGGCAAAAGCAGCATTGCTGCAAGAGAAGAAAAAAAGTGTGACAGCAACCTTAGAAAATATGTAGGCACAGTTAAAACAAACTGATGAGGAGAAAGAGCTAAAGAAAGATCAGAGGTTCAACAAAGCATTTGCTCTAGAACAGGAACGAGTAGCAAATGAAAAACTACTTCTTGAGGTGAGGAGACAGGAGGTCCAATTGCAGAAAAAGAGGGATGAAGAGAGGATTATGACCATGGACCTTAGTGCCATGCCAGATGAGCAAAAGAAATACCACATGTGCTTGCGGGCTGAGATCATGAGCCGAGTATTTAATTAGAATTCTATTCTTCTAAATAGTACTAGTAGCTACTGTGATTTTTTTTCCCATATGGTACTGTGTGATGTTTGAACTTAATTTTTATTTGAATCTTCTAAAGAGTATTAATAGCAATATAGTTTAATCGCAATCATAGTAGCACCGACTGGTCTTCCAGGTTTATGCAAAACAATGAAAAAGCATCAGAAACAGGAAAAGTATAGGTAATTTTATAAGCTAATTTAGTCAAATTGACATTTTTTCTGTTATCTACACGAATATATTACAAGGTTGATTCAAAGAAAAGAGAATTTAGCACATGGCTGCTTCACAAGGAGCATGACTGACTTCAAAGAATGATCATCTTCTATTAGTTAAAGTTCCTCAGCTATGCTAAATCTAATTAGCTAATAACCTGCTGGAACATAACCATAGCTGAGTAAAGATAAATAAAATATAATAAAACTAAATCATTCTCAAAACATTTACATAAAATCTGCTACATGAAATTAAAAAAAAAAAAAAGATATAAACATTGAATCAGTATTTTCTAATTTATAAAAATTGTCATTACAATAATACTCATGAACATATAAAAATAATCATTTGTACAGGTCTGGATGATGTTGCCACAGGTGCTCAACGAGATCATCTCGAAGTTGACTGTGAATTTCTCTGTCCTTTATATTTTTGTAATTCTTAATAAACTCCTCAAGTTCAGGTGTCGCATCATGAGAAATCTTCACATTTTCTCTCACTCCATCATAAATTAAATTATGTTCCTCATCGCGCTCATCCTCAACTATCATGTTGTGCATAATGACACAAGCTCGCATGATTTTTTCGAGGGTGTCTTCATCCCAAAATCGAGCCGGTCCCTTGACGATTGCGAAACGAGCCTGTAGAACCCCAAACGATCGTTCAACGTCCTTCCTACAAGCTTCTTGGGCAGTTGCAAAATATTTCTTCTTATACCTTGTGGTTCAGGTATGGTCTTCACAAATGTAGCCCAAGAGGGATATATGCCATCGGCGAGATAATAACCCATTGTATATTCGTTGTTATTAATAGTATAATTCACCTTTGGAGCTTGACCTTCAGCTAGCTGTGCAAATAAAGAAGACCGGTGCAAAACGTTGATGTCGTTGTGGGAACCAGGCATCCCAAAGAAAGCATGCCAAATCCAAAGATCTTTAGCGGCCACAGCTTCAAGTATAATTGTAGGCTCATGCACATGCCCGATGTACATACCTTGCCATGCTGAAGGACAATTTTTCCACCTCCAATGCATGCAATCAATCGAGCCAAGCATACCAGGAAAACCTCTACTCTCTCCAATTGCTAGTAACCTAGCAGTATCATCTTCATTAGGTGATCTCAAGTACTCATCTCCAAAAACCTCCACAACAGAACTGACAAACCTTCTCAGACTCTCCATAGCAGTACTCTCGCCAATACGTACATAATCATCTGTAGCATCAGCTGCTATTCCATAAGTTATCATCTGGAATGCTGCAATGATCTTTTGCAGACTAGACAACCCAAGTATACCGGCAACATTTTTTTTCTGTACGAAATATTGATCATGTTGTTCCACGACATTCCATATGCGTACAAACAGTGTACGCCTCATTTGAAACCTGTAATTCAAAAGTAATGAGACATATATATATGGATTTATAAAAAAAAAAAATGTCCAAATAAATCTATTGTTTACATACCTTCGTCTAAAATAACTATGTCCGTACGTAGGATCATCTGAAAAATAATCTTGGTACAATCTATGATGTCCTGCGTGTCTGTCTCGCTCAAGTACTCGATGTCCTATGATAGAACCACGATGTTTTGTTTCATCATCAGACTCATCGGCATTCATGGCCACATGAGTAACAGAGAGGAGGAAATCATCATCGTCATCATCCGACGACGAATTCATCACCAGCTGCATGGAAAGGCTTCGTCGACTCATACCGAATTTGGAGATCGCAGCGAAGACGTCTGGGGAGAGCTCCTAGCGGCGGCGCTGAATATGTTGTGCGGAAGTTCTGTGCATGGCAATGGGCCCAATTACAATGACGTGGCATGTTTTAAAATATTAGGGACTAGTTATTAGCAATCTGCTGTAGGTTGATAAGTTTTTAGGGAAGTTTTCTTTAGGGAGAGCCCCCAATACATTGTTTTGGGGAAGCACTTTTTGGGAAACTCTTGGAGTTGCTCTAATGTCGTACTCTCCTTATATTTATTCCTCCAATTTTTATATATATATTAAAATTAGAGTTGTTAAACAAAACGAAAACGAGCTAGGCATATCTCGATTTGTTAAGGATCAATTTTGGCTCGGCTCGTATGATAAATGAGTTACACTTGATCAACTCATTCGAGGCCACTTTTTCATACATGAAATGTAATTTTTTTTTTTTAAAATAAAAAAAAAAATAAATTGGAGTACTAACTTGTTAAAACTCGATCTTAGCATGGTTGGTTTATACATAAAACCCAAATATACATTTTAAAAGAGTTTATTATTATTATTATTTATTTTATTTTGACCAAAAAATAAAGTGACAAATGAGCATATAGCAAGCACTCATACATCATACATGCTGATTTAATTGCTCTTTCCTTGTTTGTTTGTTAAAGCACACAAAAGGGCAAGTTAGGCTTTCCACTGAAAAACTTAACCATAGAAATAGATTGATACCTTATTTTCATAGTGTCATTTAAAAAGGACATTGACTTCAAACAATTGTGCAACCCACATGCAATTTACATCATTCAATAACCTCCAAGATTAAATAAAAAATAAAAAAAATAAATAAAATATTTTCCACATTTTCAAAAACTTCACCAAAAGCTTCACACTCCTTATATTACTTTATACTAATTTGAAAAAAAAAAGTCTATGACTTTGTCACTATTTCTCATCAAAGTTCATGTGTCTTTGTTTTTCAATCAAATTCGACATTTTCATACATAACTTGCGGACTTTGATTATCTGACAGACGTATCGTATCATACATGATAACTATGAAAGTGATACAATCTGCATCGTTCAACAGATAAAAACGCAGCAACATATATAATGGTTGTCATTTTACATGAATTTAGACACGAGACATTATCATTAATCTTATTATGTGATGGCCACTAATCAAAATTAACATGAAAGAACAATATTAGAAGAAAAAAAATATTAATTACAAACCGTGCACTGATTACAACATCATTTATGGGTCTCATGGCGTGCAATTGTTCTCCACTTAATCAAACTCCCGATTATGATGAAGGTTTGGTCCACAATTTGTCATAATCTTGCATAGTTAATTGAACTTGTTAATTTAAATTTTGTGTGTTGAATTTAATTATGTGATGATAAAAATGGACTGCTTGATTTGACCCTTGACTTCGGTCTATTTTGTAACCAGAATTGGGTCCCACCTGATATTGGGTTCACAGTTACATGTTATTTTTTTTGTAATGTAATTAATAAGTTACTTTTTTTTTTTTTCTAACAAATTATTGTACTTCCTCCTATTCATTATAAACTAGTGTGGTACTCATGCGATGCACGGGCTAGTTTTATTATGGTAAGCATTTAGATTGGATGAATGAAAAAACATAAAACGCATATATTAGAACAAAACAAAATGTAACTTATATATTAAGAAATGCATTCTTGTATACAACATTAGTTGTTTGCCTTTTTGTTAAATCGTCTACCGCCACAAATTAAAATTTTCAAACACTTAAGATTCGTAGCGCGTGAAACATGCATAAAGCTGGCCGTGAAGGTTACCTATATTAGAATTCTAGACAGGTTTAAATAAATCAATTAAATTATTTAGCAGGATATATCTTATATGTTTTATACTTGTTTTATGAAGATTGCATAGCAAAATATAACGGATACCGTAAAACGTCTTTCGTGATAATCTATAGTTAATTCGAATTTTATATTGCCAAAAAAAATATATATATATATATATATAAATAATAGTAGTTTAATAGGAACTTCATTTATATGAGAATATGTGATTGTATTTTTTCTAACTGAAATTTTTCATTCAGCCAATTTTTAGTTCAGCCAGATTTTGCAAATAAAAAATGAGAAAGGATTTTGATTTCTAGAAAATCGTAAACACTACAGAAATATACCAAAATTAAATCTACAATACCCATAATTTTAGGGTGCATTTAAGGTTAATCGATTTTTGGTGTTAATAAATTAAAAAAAATTAAAAAAACTACAGGCATGCAATAAATGTGGGCCGATTTTATGGCAACTCAATGATAAGGGATTTAAAAATTAAAATTTTATATTCGAAATGAGACCTAATTATTTTCAATTAGATTTCTTTGAAATAAAAATGAGAACGGATTTTGATTTATATTTAATTGAGAATGGAATTTGACATCTGAAATTTTCAAAAAAATACATCAACAAAACCCATCAATTTAGGGTGCATTATGGATGACCGATTTCTTGGGTTAAGATTAAAAAAAAATAGTTAAACTTATAATTTTCCTAAACTATTTTGAAAAAAAAAACATGTCTAAAAATATTTAAACTTAATATATATGTATATATATATATATATGTGTGTGTGTGTGTGTGTGTGTGCGTGTGTGTGTGTGTGTGTGTATGTATGTGTGCGTATATGTATATATAGTTATAATATGACATGATAAAATATTATATAAAAGTATCTAAAATTTTGTAAGCCTAAATAAAGACATTATAAATTTTTTGAGAGAAAATTTACCTAGTATATATAAAATAAATATTGACATGATCCCAAATTATGACGGTACTTCTCAAAATTTGAGTATATAATATTTCAAAATTATTAATTTACTATAAGTTTGTTACCGTTAAAAAGAAATTTTGTACACATAATAATTTCACGCTTTATGAGATTTATTAAGTTTACAAATACAGCTCAAAGATTAATGTAAACTGTAACAAATATATATAACTAATAATCAGATAAAAATTGAAGACAATATTTAATTCTACATTTATTCTTATAACTTTTTATTGTATGTAGTTTGAGAGAGAAATATGTGATAAATATACT